CATATATCGCCACTCGTTATATATTGCAACTCGTCATATATCGCCACTCGTCATATATTGCCACTCGTCATATATCGCCACTCGTTATATATTGCAATTCGTCATATATCGCCACTCGTCATATATTGCAACTTGTCATATATTATATTATAACTCGTCATATATTACCACTCGTCATATATTGCAACTCGTCATATATCTCAACTCGCCACATATTGCAACTCGTTATATATCACCACTCGTTATATATAGCCACTCGGCATATATCGCCACTTGTCACATATCTCTACTCGTCATATATCGCCACTCGTCATATATCGCAACTCGCCACATATTGCAACTCGTTATATATCGCCACTCGTTATATATTGCAACTCGTCATATATCGTCACTTGTCATATATCTCAATTCGCCACATCTTGCAACTCGTTATATATCGCCACTTGTCATATATCTTTACTCGTCATATATTGCAACTCGTTATACAACTCGTCATATATTGCAACTGGCTATACGTTGTCACTTATCATATACCGTCACGCGTTCCATATCGGTACGCATCATATATCAACACCCAAGTAAGATTTGTAATCGAGCGTCTTCTTCAAAAACGATAAAACTTTTCAGCAATAAAAAACTTTGACAATGTATTAGAGCTAACAAGGTTAATTAATAAAAACGACGTCAGTATAAGAAAGTTTTGATACACGTGAACGAGCTCCGAGAATAAATGAAGCTCGTGGGATTGATCAATATTCAAATAATCTTAAGATACATACGTTTGATCGGCGCATCCACGTCTCTTTTCGTGTTCATACTACAAATCGAAAATCGTTCGGCATTGTTAACGACGAAAAAGATCGTAGCTCGTAATTTCGGAACAATCACTTCTATCATTCCAAATTCCACCTCTCGTATTCTCATAACGTCAGCTCAGACTGCACCGACCTATCTCCCACGTCTCCTTCTTCGTGTTCGTAGAGTAGTATGTCGTGATCTTCTTAGATGCGTGGAATTGTCCCAACGAAACTCGTTATCTCGTGTCTAGAAACGGAACAAGCTATCTAACCACCGTGACAGAGAATAGAAAGGGGCAAGTGTTCATCAATTACAGTATCGAATGAACATTAAATAATCATCGAGATTGCATTAATATTTATACCCTCGAACGACCAGCCAATGAGGCGTCGGTAATTTTAATTTCATTTTATGTTTGTTCGTTGATTTCGCGTCGATCGGCCAATAAATTAGTCCTTGTGCGTAACTCTTTTATATAATTAAACGAAATTAATGCGATTATAAATCAGAATTTCTTTACTTTCGGTAGGTACACGTAGATTATTATTCCGATCCTCTTCAGGTACTTCATTTATATATACAGTTCGTTCATTTTAAGTCGGCTCGCGGGAATATTCCAGGGCAAACTGAAAATATCATAAAAGTGTTATGATAGAAGCTGTTTGGTATGATAGAAGATATAATGTGACATAAATAGCTTTTTCATAGGTGAAATAGCGAAGGAGATTTTGAGTGGCCAGTTTTTTTAAACGGTGTAATAAATTTTTGTATGTAGGTTAAGTCTATGAAATATTCTGTGGAAAAAATGTATGAGCAGTGTTAAACAGGTTAATAGTTTGAAAGGTATTTTGAATTCAGAAATGGGAGATATGGAAATTTAGAGACGTTAGAGTTCGGTAATCTGACAATTTCAAAATATTAAAATTAAATGGTAAAAGTTTAGCAACTTTATGGAAATTAAGATATGTGGAATAACAGTTCTGAATATAAATCTGAAAATTTAGTAATTAAATTTGCAGTTTGCGGAACAAAATTTTATAATTTACCGATTTGGAAATTTGGAAGTCTGAAAATATAAGAATTGAGAGTTACGAACGTCCAAAATGAAAATTCATAAATTTTGCATCAGCAATGTCACTGGAACCCGCAAAATAATATATGAAATCGCAATAATTAAAATCCGCAAAACGAGAAGATTAACATAAAGCATCAAAGCGTAGTCGAAAATTTCATTAGTCACAGTCTCCTCCACAGTGTCATCGGTTTGAAGATAAACACGAACGCGATTGGTCAAAAACGAGGCACGTTGAGCGACCGCGGCTTAAAGAAGCCGTTTACAGTTCAAAAACCAAAAGCGACCAGCTCGTGTAGCAAATTGAAACCGTCTCTCCCCGAGTGGTACCGGTTAAACACCATACATTATCAACGTCACCGATCACCGTTCCCGAAGAAGCAGAATAAGAAGAAGTAGCTGTAACGAGTTTCGTTACCTGGTACCAGGGAGCGAGCGTTGGCAGGCAAGAGGGATGCTAGGAGGCATTCGTCCAAGCCGATCCCGAGGAAAGAAACAAGAACTCAGACAGCATGTGTCCGAGTGAAAAGCTTGGCCGGTTCTCCAGCTATGAAACTTTGGAAAAAGCAAAAAAACCTTTGGAAAAAGATAAAAATGCGATAGGTAAAGCAGAGAGACACCGCGGCGGATAGACGCGGAAAGGAGGGAAAGGGACAGCGCGGAATCGTGGGGAGAAAGACGGGAACAGAAGGAAGACGGCACATAAACGTGAATGAGAGGATGAGGTGGAGTGGTGTACGTGGCTGGGACGGGGAGAGCCAGCGAGAGGAGGAGGAGGAGGAGGAGAGAGATTTGTGAAGGTACGAGAAAGCAGCAGAGGTAGCAGCAGTGGCAGCAGCAGTGGCAGCAGCAGTGCCCGGGCATCAGGGCACAGAGTCTGGTCGGCGCAGGCGCCAGAGGGTAGTAGACGGTTCCTGGTGCGGGCTGCAGGCGGCGGAGGGTCAGGGAGGTGGGTGTCGGAGGGTACCTGTAGGAAGTTTATCGGCGAGCGGCGGTGGGTGCCTTTGGAGGTGGGGTTGTAGGTGGACGATGGAGGTGGAGGCAGGAGCATACTCCGTACACCGAGGATTTCCAGGCAGAGCAGACAGTCTACGGCCCGGGACAGAGGGACCAGGACCAGCCTCGGGAAGAGAGCTGCTCGTCGTGGACCCTCTTCCTTCTTACCCGCGGTACAACGGATTTTTTCTCCTCTTGCGCGGTGTTGGTGACCTTGAATGTTTACGTACCTTCGTGACGAGAATGGAGCAAACGTTTCGACGATAGAACAGTGAGGCCCCACGGGAACACTCGTCCCCGGACGCACGATCGTCGCGTGATCGTGGAGGTCGGAACGGTGCGTTTGTCGCCGATCGGTGCCGAGATCGGGACGACCTGAAGAGGAAGAAGAAGTAGAGATGAGAGAGATCGTTCGGCCGGGAATTGCTCGGAGCACGTGCCTCGCACGCAGAAGGCGCCCGGAACGGCACCAGGTGCGCTAATCGAGGACCAATCTACGGGATAAAAGTGAGACGAATTGAACGTTGCGGCGAGTTGAACGTCTTTTTAACGTTAATACCCCGAGATTCAACGTGATCTTCGAATCAACGCGGAAGGAAAGAACCGGCGAGCAGGAATGCCAGCTCGTGCTGTTCACTCTTCGAGCACGATCTCGATGATCGTTTTATTAACATCCCTTTCGATGCTCATCGGGGTCGACGGCATGGGACATGTCAGTGGACATAACGTTGATCGGATGCCGTTTCATCAGGGTGAGTTTTATGTCGTTTGATCATCCACGGATTTTCTTTCGTCGTTTCTTTCACAAGTAGATTGGTTACTGATTGCTACTTCGTTTGTGCGCGTTACGATACAACTGCAATTAGGTACTCGATTTTCATTGGTTACTGTGTGCCACGGAGAAACAATGTGATCTTGTTACATGTGATTCCAATTCAAATTTACTCACAGCTATTTTAAAGTTATTTGTATTCCATATAAATTGAAAATTATACTTTATCATCAGAATACTCGATTAAAATTAGGAAAATTTACACGCGAATTGAAATTTTAAATAATTTTACAAATATTTATATGAAATTGAAAATTTTTATTATTGTGATTAAAAATTCAGTTAATTAAAATTAAGAAAATTTGCACGTGGTTCGAAACAAAATTTATTTTAAACAATTTTAAAAATGTTTACATGAAATTAGAATTGAAAATTGATTATTGTGATTGGAAGTTCAGTCACTTAAAATTAAGAAAATTTGCACGTGGTACGACACAAAATTTATTTTAAACAATTTTAAAAATATTTACTTGAAATTAGAATTGAAAATTGATATTATTGTGATTGGAAGTTCAGTCACTTAAAATTAAGAAAATTTGCACGTGGTTCGAAACAAAATTTATTTTAAACAATTTTAAAAATGTTTACATGAAATTAGAATTGAAAATTGATTATTGTGATTAGAAGTTCAGTCAACTAAAATTAAGAAAATTTGCACGTGGTTCGAATTAAAAATCTTAATATTAGAAATATTTATATGAAACTGGATACACGTGATTAAAATTCGAATTTCTGTAAAATGGATACATGTGACTGAAATTTACTTTATGCAACGTCGGAGATTTGTGTATCAGAAGCGTGCGCTGAAAATATTTCCGTGTCGACAAAGTTGAAATTTAATAGATGTAAAATTGGAGAAAATTGAATAACATGTGATTTGTGAATGAGAAAACCGGGCACAGAGTGCATACACTAACGCGTATCGACAGGTGAAAAACACGAAAATGAATTTTTGACAGGCCATCGGTAAATGTCTATCGTTGCTCATTCTAGTTCGACAGCTCCGAAGAATTCACTGTTTACATTTATTTGTTCGGTAGCGGAACAACAGCCACTCTTGTTTTACAACGCTGCACTAATTTAAAAGTTCGCCGAGTTATATTTATAACACATGTAACATGCCGCGCGTATGTTAATATCCATAACTTTATATGACTTAATTTGAAGCTGTAACTACAAGTTAAATTGTTTCATCCGCTTAAATTTGTAGAAACCACGGAGCTCTGGTTTAGCATACACTGATTTCGTATAAATGATATTTCAGTTTAAATTTCGTATAAATATTACAAATTTTCCGCACGTTAAATTTCGGTTTTAACTTCATTCAAATATTTCGAGTTCCATATAAATTAAATCGCGACATTAATTACGCAAAAAAATTACATTTCAATTTTAATTTCGCATGAATGTTCCCAAGTGCTATTTCGATTAAAGCGTTCTTAGTATTGTATGAAATCATTTTCAATTCTGATAAAATGAAAACATTCGAAGCTAATTTAAAGCTCGATTACGATTTAAACGAAATTCCATACGAATCAATTCGGAACCACGCAAGATTTTATCAATAAATGTAAATATTCGCTTTTTGCGTGAACAAAATTTGATCGCGTAAAATTTTAGAAACGGGAGAATTAAAAGCTAAGAAATAAATTGTTGAAAGTCAAATAAAGATGGGACCATAAGTAGAAGTGTAGTATAAACGAGGAAACTCGGCGATAACTATTAATTAAGAGCAAATAGTAACGACCAGAAGGGAAACGTCTAAGATTACTGGTGTCATAACCTGCATCGCGTTAAGTGAACAGTTTAACGAACGATCTAAACTTTTACTCGTATCGCGTAAGGCCAATCTTGCGCCAAAAAGGGGAAAAAAAATAGAAAGATCCAAAATGTACTCCCTCGAGGCGATCATTCAACCCTTCACTGTTTCGAGCCCACGGGCAAAAAGTCATTTCACAGTCGCTACACTTTTTACCGCAGCACCAAGACACACCGTATAGCACTGTTTACCGTATTTCGCAGAGGGTTACGCTTTAGCACCTTTCTCACCCTATCTCCGTTTCTTCCATTTCTTTTTTTGGATACAATATACGAATCGACATACTTTGCATTCTGTATTTGGATTTCTGCAGAACTACGTTCCGTAGAATCTGGGAAGATGTTGACGGATTTAGATTACCTACTGGGGATCAAAGGGGTATTTGCAGACCTTGCTTTTCTTGCAGTTACTCTATTTGAACGAAACGTGGATATTGTATTGCATTACGTTCGGTATATATTACACAGCTATTTGGAATTCTAATGTATTCATTTCGATTGATTATGTTCAGCGTTAATTAACTATCGTTTTATGTGCGTTGAAATTTTTGTGGCAGTATAAAAATGGCAATATAACGAGAGTTCAATGTGTCATAGTATGTGGATTTGATAACGCTTCAATTTCTAGTTACAATACTTTTTTTTCTTAATCGTAGCATGTTTCAAAAGATAGGAAATAGCTTAGAGTGTCTTATGGCAGATACTCGTTATATTGCCGCCGATCATATTGCGATGTGTTTCATTTCTATTCGTTGTAATTTTTATCTGTTTTACATTACTATGAGTTTTAAGTAGCAATGTGTTTTATATCATTATGCATTTGATATTGGCAGATCCTATATACCTTTTGTATATCGCCACGTGCAGTATATTGCCATGCATTTAATATTAGCGCGTGTTCCATATAGTTTTCGACTGTATTTCGTCATGCATTGTATATTGTATTAAATATCACTGTGTGTCATATATCACCACTCGTCATATATTGCAACTCGTCATATATCGCCATTCGCAATATATCGCCACACGTCATATATTGCAACTCGCCATATATCGCCATTTGTCATATATTGCAACTCGTCATATATCGCCATTCGCAATATATCGCCACACGTCATATATTGCCAGTCGTCATATATCGCCACTTGTCATATATTGCAACTCGTCATATATCGCCACTTGTCATATACTGCAACTCGTCATATATCGCCATTCACAATATATCGCCACACGTCATATATCGCCATTCGCAATATATTGCCACACGTCATATATCGCCATTCGCAATATATCGCCACACGTCATATATCGCCATTCGCAATATATCGCCACTTGTCATGTATTGCAACTCGTCATATATTGCAACTCGTCATATATCGCCACTTGTCATACATCTCTACTCGTCATATATCGCCACTTGTCATACATCTCTACTCGTCATATATTGCAACTCGTCATATATCGCCACTTATCATATTCTCATTCGTCCTCTTGTCATATATTGCAACTCGTCATGTATCGTCACTCTTCATATATCACCACTTGTCATATATCATCATGCATTACATATCAGCAACATGTTGCCACAAACATACTCTTTAAATTTCAAACTGCTATTATGTTAGTTTCACAGTAACTTTATTTGCATCTAACACTGTTAGTTTTTTAATATTTTGAATCTTGGTATGTACGTAATAAAAATGTGTGGCCTGCTGCACGTCACACATACACACATATCGTATTAATACTAAAACATTTATACATGCATATCATTCCGATCAAACAGCAGCTTTCCCGTTGATGCAGTATAAATGTTGTTTTGCATTGCTTTATGTTATCAAATCATTTCCAACTGTCCATACTTCAAAATTCACCATTTGACACGTATAATAACCAAGTTTCAAAAGCGAATGACAGATCAGGTAAACAAACGAGCCAATCACACACCAAACAGTCTTTAAATCTCTTTTCGAATTTATTTTAAATTCCACTGTCGAATCGTCCGATTACAAGTGCAACACCGAGATCGAAAGAGCAAGTAGTCCTTTTATTTAACGGAGTTAATCACTTTGGTAATTGAACCGAACGGTTCAAATGTTGCAAAGTATGAATTTGTCTCTAGGTTCGAATATCAAATAAATTCACATGATCATTCCGAATCGGGTTACAAAGAGACGGGATAAAAAACACTGAAGGGAAACAAATTTCCAGTGTGAGGAACAGCGTGATATAAAATGTTCTCTGACGAATTGCATTTATGCAGTTTGTTGTTTTTATCATGTTACATGTCTAATTGCATTGATTATTTTACCGTTCATTACTTAGTATGTACAGCGTTGCAACGGGCAAGAAAAAGGTTAGCCAGTCATGCTACCACACGAACTTCAGTAGAAATTAGGCTTTATTGTTTCAAAGACGACGTGGAGTTTGTGGAAGTTCAAGTTTCTACCTGGAGGGTCTTATTGTCTACGTTTCCTACGTATCCACTGTTTGAATTGGATAGTTCTATATATACCTTTATTAATTATCAAGTTTGCACACATTTTGCAAACTCTGTTCATTTTTACAGTCATATGTTATTCCTTTTTCAAAGATAGGTTTAATACGCAGATATAAATGTACCAAACGTTATCGATTCTCTAGATATTCCATTTACTAAAAAAACAAATATGTGTATGCATAAATAAAATCCGCACGAAAACAATAAAAAGCGTGTAAAATTTATGAGACAGTGGAAACTCGTTACGCAAATATAGTTGAATGGAATTTGCGAAGTATTCGCGATCTTACTGTGCAGTCAAATTGAAATTACATAGCATTGATGAAATTCCTGGCAAACATCTGAAACCACATGTTGCGTGGTTCGCAGATCGCATAGAAAATGTTTAATTGACACAAGTCTGAGATGGGAGATCGCATGCATATCTGAAAAAACATGATGTACGGTCGTTTCACGAGCACAGCTGCATTCCTTTTCATTTGGCTGGTGCAGTCATAGACACGTGGTATGCATTTTTTCTCGAGTCGTCTCAACAAGGGGTAACATTTCGTCGTGCTTTTATGCATGTATGTATGTATGTATGTACGTAGCATCGCATATAG